AAATAATATATTAAACGGGAAAGTGTAACCATTTTTCTACCATGCTTCTGATATGCACGACTTCGAAAAGTTAACACATGAAATGACGTGCACTTATCAGGCTGGCCTACAGTTTGACCTGTGAACCACCTTGCTTTAAATCATTTCATCGCGTCATGTACGCAAATAATCTAATCCAGGTCGATGGTATTTACCTTATCCAATGTAGACAATGAAATAAATAGTTTTAAAAATATTTGTTTTCTAAAGCAAATTTATAATTGAAATCGTAAGTCGATAAAACGTATTGTGTTTCGCAGGTGTATTTATTGAAGACTTTGGTTCGAGGCTTTGTCAAAATGCAGCATTATAAATGTTATTGTTTTGTAAAGAATGAACTGAAAATAACACATTAAATATTACGGAATGAAAAAAACATCTGATAGATATCTTTTGTATTAGTTTCCATTTATTTTCCTTCATATTTCTTATCCGTATGGATTTAGGCCAAGTATAGGAAGTGTTGCAACAATAACTTCAGCGGCACTCGTTTTTTTATTTTTCATTTATTGTGCGATATTAAGGTTGATCATTGAAAGAAGAAGCTGTGTGAATTCAAACTAACAAGTTAAAATGATCATACACTTTTAACTTTCAAATATCGCGTTTGGAACAATGTATTGTATTTTTTTTCATATTACAATTGCCGTAAATGAAACATATAATCGCACCAGGATAATATTCTACAATCAAGTACCCTGCGGGCGGTATACCGAAGGACACAATGCAGAAGATTGCATGTTCACATGTAATATGTTGTAAATGAAAGTGTCGATTACTTTAGCGTCGGAAACGTTTATTTGTCATTTCTTTCTATATCTCCTCTTGATATTGGCTAGCTGGCCTTGAGAGACATTACGACACAATACATAATGAGATTCATTAGTTGGTATTATCAACACACTGTTTGCACGCACAAAAAAAGTGGTAAAAGGGCTAATATTTTCCCATGATTTTGGACGCATTGACTATCTCCTTCACACGAATTCTTGCAACAAATTTTTTCTGTTTTCATTTACTTATAACACAGGCAGACGTTTAGACCGAGATATCCGCATTTCTGGCGGTGATGGGAAATTCTATCCGACTCTCCGGATATAATTTTGAGTAAAGCCTCGGGTCTCCTGCTCAATATTTTATCCCTTGTGTTTGAATTACTTTATCCATACCTCACATCAAGGATGGATTTCTATTAATATGACATATCTAACAAACTCACGCCTGTGCAGGTTGTGGATTAAGAACAGAAAAATACCTGCTGCTACCAACGACTTGCCTGTGCTTAAGGACACAATCAATTCAATTCCAGTTTATTCCAGGGACCTTACGACCCATAGGCATACATAAATATAATACATACTATTACATACATATTTGGAGAGTGATCTCTCATGACATGCATACAGAACACAGAAAGTAACATATGCATGTCTGTATACGATACACAAACAACATACTGACAGAGACGGGAGGTAACTCCGCGGCAATGTTATCTTGATTGCGATTACAAAAATGCTGAGTCAATCTACCAATTATTACTAAGTTTAATGATATATATTTTACACCATTAGCAATAATACTTTAATATACAGACAGACACACACAGACAGACAGACACACACACACACACACACACACATAAGTATACGTAATAATTACTTTTCAGTGAAGGCATGCTTTTCTTTGCATTCGAAATCATACATGAAATACATTGTTTGACGATAACATTCGCTTTAAGCCAAAGTATGTTTTTCTTTACTTAACGGCAGAATGCTAAGGGATACATGGTTTCAAAACATACCTATTACGACCAACATAAATCTCCTGCATCCATTACAATATTTATGGTTTTCATATTTTCTCCACCTCATATAATTCCTTTTATTTCCTAGCACCTCCCATAGAACTATCTCCATTTTAGCCTTTGTGTTATTCCTATAGCTGTGATATCGTAGCTTTCTGACGACGAGAGATTGTTTTATATATTGCGTCGTCATGACCAGCATATCCGTTGACAGTTAAATGTGACCAAGCGGGATGCTGTGTTGGGTGCCTTCGTCAAAGAACACGTATTTCAATGAGGAAGCACTCCAAAGTCGGCATCAGACTCGCAATATCGATATCACAACGAGGAAAATGCCCCAACATAATGTCTATAGTAGTACTTAAACATATACATGCATACATACACTTGTAACACCCATGGAAACGTGTCCTTAAAATTAAATAACATTTGCTGTTAATAGACGCTAAACAAAAGAAATGATTGGTGGACTTTTATTTTACATGATCTACATACCCAGCGTGCTTCATGCGCTATATATAACACATGCGGACTTTTACTTCTCCCACAAGTACTATAGGTTTCCTCACTCGCGACTTGGTGGTAAACATGAAACCACAAATGGATTTTGAACACGGTTATAACAGCTTTTTGCAGCCGCCCTTTGTGGATGAGACGGTAACACGAACAGCTAATTTCAATTGCCTATCTTTTAATTATGACATCACGCAAAAATGCTTTGCGACGTCATCTTCACTATGTTGTCATAGCAATGATCTCCCGCATTAGAGACAGAAAGTATGTATGTCTAAGGGAAACATGTGGTTTTCCATATACAATATTTACAAACGTTATGAGAAAAAATATCCATTTATTCATGTTTTAGTTTCCAAATTCATTATAGCTGCTTATCATATCTAAATCTCATTAGTCGATTTTCAAACTGGTAAAAAATACGTAAACCTGGTGTTTTTATACAACTCGAAAATTAAACAACGTGGGTTAGGTCAACATGATAACCATCCATTAGTCGTTTGGTATCTTCTGTATATCTACGTATGAAATAATCAGTTTATTTGTAAGTACACGTGTACTAATGCCACAGGCGGACATCATACTTGCATGTCTCTCTGTAATTTTTTAGCGTACCAAAATTAAATTTTTAAATGTATGGAATATTATAATCATTGTTGAAAAATCGGGGTCTATGTATTTTACAATTATAGAAATTATGTTAATTGTTGAAACATTTGTCGCACTTTATTGATTATGATCTATGAACAACAAATACATGACATCGTCGCCCCCAATCTTCCCTTAAGTATGCAAGCATGTATAAGCTGAATAGACGATGCCGTATTGATTAAGATATTATATCTGTTTACACTGATTTATTTTAACAATTGTGACAATCTTTAAATGCAACATTGTGTTAATTGTACTGTAATAACGTGGAATTGATTTTGAGGAACAAATACAAGTGGTTGATTATGATACGTTAATAAGACTCATAGAACCAGAATAACGAGACGAGTGTCTCTCCTGCAGGTCGGGGTTGAGAAAAGAACAACTCGTACAGCATGTACATACCGCATGGTATAAGGTAAATAATGACGAAACCTCATGCAGACCTGGGACTTGATTTCTTAACATCTACTAGCTTATATAAAGTGATCCAAATAAATCTGCTGCATGATTTGTTTTCTCTCTGTTTCTAAATACTTTGGTTTCAAAACGTATTAAAAAGCAATACCTCACTTGAGTGTTACCCCATGAAAGGATGGTAGTGGGATTAAACCCAAGACCGAAGAAAAAACAAACCACTGTTGTTTAAGCTTGTACGTTCTGCCCCATCCCCGTACCCACTTTCTGACGTTCAGCTTTAAGATAGAGTGAGTGATGTTAAGGTTGGTACCATATGCAGCTCGTTTAGCTAAGTATAGTCTGACTGGGTAGATTGTTATGCTGTGTGACCGGGTGGATTGTCATGATGTGTGACCAGATGGATTGTCATGCTGTGTGATTGGATGGATTGTAATGCTGTGTGACTAGATGGATTGTAATGCTGTGTGACCGGGTGGATTGTCATGTTGTGTGACCGGGTGGATTGCCATGTTGTGTGACTGGGTGGATTGTCATGTTGTGTGTCCGGGTGGATTGTCATGTTGTGTGAGCGGGTGGATTGTCATGTTGTGTGACTGGGTGGATTGCCATGCTGTGCGACTGGGTGGATTGTCACACTTTGTGACTGGGTGGATTCTCATGTTGTGTGACCGGGTGGAATGCCATGTTGTGTGACCGGGTGGATTGTCATGCTTTGTGACTGGGTGGATTGTCATATTATGTGACCAAGTCGATTATCATGTTGTGTGACCGGGTACACTATCTTGTTGTGTGACCAGATGTATTGGCATGCTCTGTTACAAGATTGATTGTCATGTTGTGTAACTGGTGTTCTTCTCGTGCTATGTAATCGGGTGGATTGTCATGTTTTGTGACCGGGTGGATTGTCATGCTGTGTGACCGGGTGGATTGTCATGTTGTGTGACCGAGTGGATTGTCATGCTGTGTGACCAGGTGGATTGTCATGTTGTGTGACCGGGTGAATTATCATGTTGTGTGACCAGCTTATTGACATGCTCTGTTACCAGATTGATTGTCATGTTGTGTAACTGGTGTTATTCTCGTGCTGTGTAATCGGGTGGATTGTCATGCTCTGTGACCGGGTGGATTGTCATGCTGTGTGACCGGGTGGATTGTCACGCTGTATGACCGTGTCGATTGTCATACTTTGACCAGGTGGATTGTCAAACTGTGAGACCGGATGGATTGTCATACTGTGAGACCGGATGGATTTTCCTAATGTGTGACCTGATGGATTGTCATACTGTGTGACCGGATGGATTGTCATACTGTGTGACCGGATGGATTGTCATACTGTGTGACCTTATGGATTGTCATACTGTGTGACCGGATGGACTGTCATACTGTGTGACCGGATGGACTGTCATACTGTGTGACCTGATGGATTGTCATACTGTGTGACCGGATGGACTGTCATACTGAATGACCGGATGGATTGCCATACTGTGTGACCTGATGGACTGTCATGTTGTCCTCGGGGTGTCTTGTCATATATATGTAAGATATAGACACAACAACATCGCTCATCTGAATTAATTGTTTACTTTATTTTTTGCATTTATAGATAAAAAACATTAACAAGTGATGATGCAACTGTTCATGTCTTTGCGTTAGCATGCAGTACCGCTGACGTCGGTGACTTTAATCAAATCGATCAGAACAGATTCTGATAAGATACATGGTTGACAACCTAACAAGCAATATCAGTGAATATAGATGGATGTCCACAACGTTTTGATAAACAAGTTTCATTTATTGAAGTGATACGTCATTGTAGTGGCATTTGATATTTGTGTAGAAATTTATTTCTGATATAAACATACATGTATATAATATAGTGGTTCCTCAGGTTTTGACCTGTATTGATAGCAACTCTTTTCATTAGACAGAAAATCCGCTGAAGGACGTGACATACGGTAACACATCAATGGCACCTGGTCGATCCAAGACATAAACCACGACAACGTCACCTTGGGCCAGCGATAGGACTGCCGTGCTTGTCCCAGTGGTCCAATGGGTACCGTCATCTCCTGCAAAACCATCTGCAACAACGGCCCCGTTTTTCAGCAGTTGTGATTTTAAGTAATGTACGTTGATCTGTATTGTCCAGGTAAACACGTAAAGCCCCTGGGTACTGCACGTGAACGCCCCCGTGAATCCACTGTAGTCGTTGTGTGTATTTGTTATAACGCTGTCAAATATGATGGTATGGCCAATGGCAACAGAGTGGGCTGTGTTACTACTTCTGGCGAAGAATCCAGATCCTTGTCCATCTGAATTCCAAACAATGCTTTAATTTAATTTAGTTGTATAATGTCAAGACAAGGCTATGACTTTAGTGAACGCATTCTCAATTTATGTTCACATGATCATTGTGATTTTTTCTGGCCGAGAAAAAGGTCAATAATTCCACGAGAAATGATAAATAAACCCGAACAATATCAAATTGAAAATTACAGGTGTTTACAGGGTGTTTAAATATTGATACGAACACATTAATATGTTTCATCTTTTTGAAACACCACAGTAAATATACTTTAGTATGTTAGCATATAACATAATTACTTGCAGCACATAAAATTGTTAAAACGTTTGTTTGTTTCGGAATATCACCAGTGATTACTTTTCCGCGAATTCTACACTGTGCGAACATTGAATTCCTGACGAAATCGCAAAGTAAGCTTGAGGGAATTAAGTGCTACAACACAGTGATGCATTTACATAAACGAAAGATGTTTTTTATGTAGACAGACTGCATGTAGCATTGATACCTACCTTCTGCCACTCGTTTAGTTCTCGGAAATGGCACCGGCGATCGGCGAATTATTACTTTTCGGTTTGAATTCGGTGGATTGGTCAATTTGGCATCGACGGTGTCCTGTGTAACTGTCCGAGGTTCCGCGGGTTCGGAATCATACGTGGTAGTAATATTCCTATTATCGGGAGCCCTATCCAGACTAAAAGTATTGGTAGGTTCACGGGAGTGGCCGAGTTTTTCTGCAACGCTACATCGCTTTTTACACTGTGTAGATAGCGCGACGTTTTGTAGCATCACCGTTTCGAGTTTTGAATGGAGACGGTTGTTTTCCTGTTGGAGTTTTGAATGGAGACGGTTGTTTTCCTGTTGGAGTTTTCCTAATTCTTGCTTTAATGTTGTTATGTCATCAAGAGCTTTTTCCAAAACATGATGGTCACTTTGCATTGTTTTCTTCATCACAATGGTTTCTTCAGCATCCTTTTCGCGGAGGTTCTCCAATATTTTCAGACGGTGGAGTATTTCAAGGTTGGCATCATCAGGAGCACCGTTATATCCGATAGAAATTTTGTCAGTTTCCTCACTAGTACCTTTACATTTTGAAAATACAATATTGGTTAAAACAAGTGCGCATAAAATATTATTCAACATTTTCGACGGTTGTAACCGAATATGGGTAAGGTTCTCGGGTTTAAAGTGGTATGATAGAGCAGGTGGCCCTTTTTCTTTAGGTATAGACACTGAAGATAAACATTCCTGACCTGCAATTTTAACAGGGACAGCACAGATAACCCGAGGCCATTCTGTTAAGTTCTCATGAAATGGCTACAAGGTAAAACCCGACCAGTTCAACTGAAATAGACGAGACGAGATTGTGTGTACCAAGTATGTGTGACACTAGTAAAATACTAGCCGCTTCCTACCGACTCGGTTAGGGAGATTTTCTCTTTAGCTCATTCGGTAGAACGTAAGACTAGTAAACAATAGGTCCCGGGTTCGACTCCTGGCGGAGGCCTCTGTGACATATGATTTCACTGTAACCATTTGTGGTGATAAACTGACACGTCCTGTTAGGACGGTACAACAAAACAAATAGGAATGAACTGAAAAAGATAAATATATGATGTTTTTACAGACAACGGTTAATGATTTGAGAGGTTAACGTGACATCGGTATTATATGATTTTGAATCTAAACTAACAAAGGTTAATGTTTTTGAAAGTTAATGTGACCATATAATGGGATTCAGAGCTCAAACCGAATGAGGATAATGGTTTGGGGATTAACGTGATATCATCAGAAGATTTCGAGTGTACAAAAAAAAGGATTGAAAGCGACATCGGTGTAAATATGGAATAAACGCTGACAACGGTTAAGTTAACGATTCGGTGTCTAAATCAACAATGTGATGTAGAGGATGCTGTTTTATTTGTATGAACAGTTGATTGACAAGTTGACTAACTTACACGATTTGTAAATGGGAGGGTACCGGTTGACTCAGTACGTTGTCTATGTATGCTATTCCCACCGATTGGTATATAAAGGTTTGACCTGCTAATCTCCATTACTTGTGTAAACAAATGACCATTGTTGGTTATTCTACCTAACTTGTACATAGAAAGACGAACATACGACACACACCGGTGATTGTAATTTAACCCTTTCACCCCTATGTAACTTTAGTAGACTCTACTGTGCATTGATATAGATTAGTCCATTATGGTCTAAAGTGGTGAAAGGGTTAATAACTTGGTAATAGATACAGTTTGCAAAAAAATGAATAGAACTGCATCATACATATGTTTTGTCATTTTAGGATTCGTTGTTGTTGCTAGGGGGCCGACAAGGTGGACATCCACATCTTTCTTAACACGTGTTGTAACTGAAGGGGAGGTGCGTCAAACCGATCAATGCTATGAATTTAAAGGAATTAGAGTATTACAGTTTAGTTTTATGATAACGAGTAACACCTGTATATTATGAACAGTGCCACTACGACTACAATGTAGGTCTACTATTTACTGCCTTGGTTAAATTTATAACACATTGAGAAACAAAGGGAATTAGTAATATTTCCTTCGGCAGTGTGACCTGTGTTTAAGTCATACGCCCTACTGTGATTATATATACTTCACGTATCATGTGGTTATACCTTATTGTTTTCAATTTGTCTTTAAATATGTTTTTTCGTACATGTTTTCTCTCTTACTTTCATATTTTACAATGAAATACATAAGTAGTCGGATCTTGACAAATATCCACTTCACGACCCCTGTTACATCACTGTACTGAGTGACTAGCATATAATTCACTTTAAACACAATATAACTGTAGTTTTATAATCAACACTTGTTCACATCGTTATGATGACGGCACTTGTAATGAATTTTAAGTCATTCATGTCCGGAGCCGGGAATCGTTTTTGTATTTATTTAACGTCCATAGTAAGGTACATGTCGCTCCCTATACGACTAGAGTTCAACGCGGATGTCAAAACAGCTACAATTTTAATTTAAATCGACATATAACATGACGTTTTTAAGTTAAGTAGTACGTATAACATAGCGTAAATTACCAAGTGGACTAACTAGTGTTGAAACAGAAAAGGATTAGAGGGTGGGGATTGGTGGAGGGGGTGCGTAGAAAACCCCTAAATAAGTACTGGTGATTTCAAGTTAATAATAACGAGTAAAGCGTGTATATATTATGAACCGTGCTTCCATGCAATTATCAAAATTTATAAGATATATGTACATGCATACTTGTAAAAAAAAAGTTTATTACGCGAATTGGCAAGTTGCATACATACATGTACGTGTAATAACGTGTTATTGCATACCATAATGCACATTTACGACATAAATTTATAACATAATGACAAACTAAGGGAATCCCATATTTTTCCGTTGACAGTGTACCTGTATTTTAGTAATACGCTCTACTGTGATTATACTTCACGTGTAACAAAGTCACTGAACTCGGTTGGATTGTCCTGTTGTATTATCGGATGGATTGTCATGTTGTATAATCGGATGGATTGTCATGTTGTGTGACCGGGTGGATTGTCATGTTGTGTGACCGGGTGAATCATCATGCTGTGTGACCAGATTGAATGCCATTCTGTCCTCGGGGCGTATTGTCATATACATGTATATGTTAAATATAAACACAACAACGTCGCTCTTTTTATTTTACATTTTTCTGTATTATTGTGTTTATAGATAAAATCATTAACAAATTATGATGTAAAGTTCGTGTCTTTACGTTAGCATGCAGTACCGCTGACGTCGGTGACTTTAATTAAATCGATCCGAACAGATTCTGATAAGATACATGGTTGACAACCTAACAAACAATATCAGTGATTATCAACATACAGTGAACATAGATGGATGTCCACAACGTTTTGATAAACAAGTTTCATTTATTTTTTATTCAAACGGCACATCATTGTGGTGCCATTTGATTTTTTATTAGAAAGTTATTTCTAAAATAGTGGTTCCACGGGTTTTGACCTATTTTGATTTACAACCTATTCATTAGACCAAAAATCCACTGAAGGACGTGACATGCGGTAATACGTAAGTGGGATCTGCACTGGCTAGACCAGTGACATGAACCACGAGAACGTCACCTTGGGCCAGAGATAGGATTGCCGTGCTTGTCCCAGTGGTCCAGTAGCGCTCGTCATCTCCTGCAAAACCATCTGCAACCGGTGCTCCGTTTTTCAGCAGTTGTGATTTTAAGAAATGTCTGTTGATTTGTATTGTCCAAGTTAACGCGTACAGCCCTGGAGTACTGCACGTGAACGCCCCTGTGTATCCACTATAGTCGTTGTGAGTATTTGTGATAACGCTATCAAATACGATGGTATGGCCAACGGCAACAGAGAGGATTGTGCTCCCACTTCTGGCGAAGAATCCAGATCCTTGTCCGTCTGTATTCAAAAAAGATGCATTAAAATAGTAGCTCAACACTTGTTAATATTAAATTGAGTTGTATAATGTCAAGACAAGTTATTACTTTAGAGAGCGCGTTCTCAATTTATGTTCACGTGACCATTAATATTTATTAAGGCCGAGAAAATAATAAATAAATAAATGGAAAAACCCCAAACAGTATCATAGTGAAATTTAAAGTTATTTACAGGGTGTTAAAATGTTTATACGGACCGTTTTATAGTTTCACCTTTATAAAATACCACAGTAATTTGTCAATATATTAAACTATAACAGAATTACTAGAGGTATATAAAATAGTTGAAACGTTTCTTTGTTCAAAATATCACGGTTGATTTTATTATGTATTCTACTCTGCGCGAATATTAAGTTCCTGGCGAAATCTCAAAATAAGCTTGATGCAATTCAGTGCTATAATACAGTGATGCATGCATAAAAACGAAAGATGATTTTATACCTACCTTCTGCCACTCGCTGAGTTCTTGGAAATGGCACCGGCGATCGGCGAATTATTACTTTTCGTTTTGAATGCAGTGGAATGTTCAATACGGCATCGACGGTGTCCTGGGTAACTGTTTGAGGTTCCGCGGGTTCGGAAGCAGACGTGTTAGTTAGGTTCCTATTATCTGATGTCTTTTCTTTACTAAAAGTATTGGTAGGTTCATGCAAGTGGCTGGGTTTTTTCTGCAACGCTGCATCGCTTTTTACACTGTGTAGATAGCGCGACGTTTTGTAGCATCACCGTTTCTAGTTTTGAATGGAGACGGTTGTTTTCATATTGAAGTTTTCTGAAATCTTGCTTTAATGTTGTGATTTCATCAAGAGCTTTTTCCAAAACATTATGAAATCTTTCCATTGTTTTCTTCATTAAATTCGATTCTACAGCATCATTTTCGCGGTTGTTCTGCAATGTTTTCAGACGGTGGAGCATTTCTAGGTTGGCATCCTCAGGAGCACCGTTATATCCGATAAACAATTTGTCAGTTTCCTCATTAGTACCTTTACATTTTGAAAATATAATATTAGTCAAAACAAGTGCACATAGAATATTTTTCAACATTTTCCACGGCTAACGTGAGAGGAGATACGTAGTAAATCAAGACACGTTCACACCGCAAAACAAATAACCACAACGATAGTTGATTTTATAGACAGGAACATATGGTCGAACTTACACTTCACAACAAAAACAAACTTGACCTACAGCGTTAATGGCCACAGCAAAGATAACCCTTAGTCACTTTTCTGACCTAACAGGAAATGGAAAAAGGACAGAATTCAAGTTCACCAGGGAAAATACGAGACGAGATTGTTGGTTGTTTTTTGGGTTTTTGTTTGCGGGGGGGGGGGGTATAGTTAACACCGATATGAGGTTTTATATTAAAACCGACAACAGTCAAGGTTTAAGGAATAAAATTGACACTGGTAAAGGATTCGGCCTTTGAACCGGCAACGGTGAAGGTTTTCGGTTTTAAAGTGGGATGATTTCATGGACAGGAGCAGATGGCTTTGTTCCTTGGCACTTTCCTGACCTTTAGTTTTAACGGGGAGAGATACAATGGGGCTATACCTTCCTATTTCCTTTGACAGTGTGACCTGTAACTTCACGTCTGACAAGAGATAACATGTGGCTATACCTTCCTATTTCCTTTGACACCGTGACCTGAAACTTCACGTCTGACAAGAGATACAATGGGGCTATACCTTCCTATTTCCTTTGACAGTGTGACCTGTAACTTCACGTCTGACAAGACATAACATGTGGCTATACCTTTTTACTCCTTTGGCAGTGTGACCTGTAACTTCACGGCTGACAAGAGATACGATGTGGCTATACCTTTTTATTTCCTTTGGCAGTGTGACCTGTAACTTCACGGCTGACAAGAGATATAATTGGGCTATACCTTCTTATTTCCTTTGGCAGTGTGACCTGCAACTTCACGGCTGACAAGAGATAATATGGGGCTATACCTTCTTGACAAGAGATAACATGTGGCTATACCTTCTTATTTCCTTTGACAGAGATAACATGTGGCTATACCTCCCTATTTCCTTTGACAGTGTGACCTGTAAATTCACGTCTGACAAGAGATAACATCTCACTATACCTTCTTTTTTCCTTTGACAGTGTGACCTGTAAATTCACGTCTGACAAGAGATAACATGGGGCTATACCTCCTTATTTCCTTTGACAGTGTGACCTGAAACTTCACGTCTGACAAGAGATAACATCTCACTATACCTTCTTTTTTCCTTTGACAGTGTGACCTGTAACATCACGGCTGACAAGAGATAACATGGGACTATACCCACTTAGTTTCTTTGACAGTGTGACCTGTAACTTTACGTCTGACCAGAGATAGCATGTGGCTATACCTTCCTATTTCCTTTGACAGTGTGACCTGTAACATCACGGCTGACAAGAGATAACATGGGACTATACCCACTTATTTTCTTTGACAGTGTGACCTGTAACTTCACGGTTGACAAGAGATAACATGGGACTATACCCACTTATTTTCTTTGACAGTGTGACCTGTAACTTCACGGCCGACAAGAGATATAATGGGGCTATACCTTTTTATTTCCTTTGACAGTGTGACCTGTAAATTCACGTCTGACAAGAGATAACATGGGGCTCTACCTTCTTATTTCCTTTGACAGTATGACCTGTAACTTCACGGCTGACACGAGATATAATGGGGCTATACCTTTTTATTTCCTTTGGCAGTGTGACCTGCAACTTCACGGCTGACAAGAGATACGATGTGGCTATTCCTTTTTATTTCCTTTGGCAGTGTGACCTGCAACTTCACGGCTGACAAGAGATACGATGTGGCTATTCCTTTTTATTTCCTTTGGCAGTGTTACCTGTAACTTCACGGCTGACAAGAGATCCGATGTGGCTATACCTTTTTATTTCCTTTGACAGTGTGACCTGTAACATCACGGCTGACAAGAGATAACATGGGACTATACCCACTTAGTTTCTTTGACAGTGTGACCTGTAACTTTACGTCTGACAAGAGATAGCATGTGGCTATACCTTCCTATTTCCTTTGACAGTGTGACCTGTAACTTTACGTCTGACCAGAGATAGCATGTGGCTATACCTTCCTATTTCCTTTGACAGTGTGACCTGTAAATTCACGTCTGACAAGAGATAACATCTCACTATACCTTCTTTTTTCCTTTGACAGTGTGACCTGTAATTTCACGTCTGACAAGAGATAACATCTCACTATACCTTCTTTTTTCCTTTGACAGTGTGACCTGTAACATCACGGCTGACAAGAGATAACATGGGGCTCTACCTTCTTATTTCCTTTGACAGAGATAACATGTGGCTATACCTCCCTATTTCCTTTGACAGTGTGCCCTGAAACTTCACGTCTGACAAGAGATATAATGGGGCTATACCTTTTTATTTCCTTTGACAGTGTGACCTCTAACTTCACGTCTGACAAGAGATATCATGGGGCTATACCTTCTTATTTCCTTTGGCAGTGTGACCTGTAACTTCACGGTTGACAAGAGATAACATGGGACTATACCCACTTAGTTTCTTTGACAGTGTGACCTGTAACTTCACTGCTGACAAGAGATAACATGGGACTATACCCACTTAGTTTCTTTGACAGTGTGACCTGTAACTTCACGGTTGACAAGAGATAACATGGGACTATACCCTCTTATTTTCTTTGACAGTGTGACCTGTAACTTCACTGCTGACAAGAGATAACATGGGACTATACCCACTTATTTTCTTTGACAGTGTGACCTGTAACTTCACGTCTGACAAGAGATAATATGGGGCTATACCTTCTTATTTCCTTTGACAGTGTGACCTGTAACTTCACGTCTGACAAGAGATAGCATGGGGATATACCTCCTTATTTCCTTTGACAGTGTGACCTGTAACTTCACGTCCGACAAGAGATAACATGGGGCTATACCTTCTTATTTCCTTTGTCAGTGTGACCTGTAACTTCACGTCTGACAAGAAATAGCATGGGGCTATACCTCCTTATTTCCTTGACAGTGTGACCTGTAACTTCACGTCTGACAAGAAATAACATGGGGCTATACCTTCTTATTTCCAATTTGTTTGTAATGGAATTGTTCTTGTGTGACCTGAAACTTCACGTCTGACAAGAGATATCATGGGGCTATACCTTCTTATTTCCTTTGACAGGGTGACCTGTAACTTCACGTCTGACAAGAGATAACATGGGGCTATACATTCTTATTTCCTTTGACAGTGTGACCTGTAACTTCACGTCTGACAAGAAATAACATGGGGCTATACCTTCTTATTTCCAATTTGTTTGTAATGGAATTGTTCTTATATGTTTTCTCGCATATTTTCATAATTGTATGCAATAAACGTTATTACTACAAGCACGTATGCATCTTTTCATTTTTCATAATTGTATGCAATAAAACGCTATTGTTTCAAATACGTATACCTCTTTTTAATTTTCCTTAGTGTGTATGCAATAAAACGTTATTTTTACAAGTATGTAGGTATCTTGTAAGTTTTTTGATAAATTCCAAATATGTACGCATTTTGTAAATTTGCGTAATAGTATGCAAAAAATCTGTTTAAAATTACAAATGCGTGTATGCAATAAAACGTTACTATTTCAAGTATAAATGCATCTTGTAAATTTGCATGATTGCATTGATAAACTTATATATGTGCATCTTGTCAGTTTTCATTATTTTATGCAATAAAACATCAATATAACAAGTATTGTGCATATTAAAACAATCAAATACATAAGTAGTAGGATCTTGACCAATGTCCACTTTGCGACCCCTCTTACATACTATACTGTTCTGTACTGAGTGACCAGCACACGACTCACTATAAACACAATATATGTAGCTTTATAATTAACATCAACATCGGTATGAGTACGGCACTTGTAATGAATTGAAACGAACGCTGGTTCGGAACTGTGTATTCATTCACCGTCAATTTTAAGGTACATGTCACCCTCTATACGACCAGAGTTGAACGAGTATGTGAAAACAGCGACAACTTTAATATAATCACAATACTAAATAAAGTATTAAGTGTAACATAGTGTAAACTACCATCATGTTCCTGTCAACACGAACCCGTAACAATAGAAGATTGGGTCGAGTCTGTGATTCTCCTTACACAGTATCTGCAATATCATTATTACAAGAACGGAAGTGATATATATATATACAATTGTAGTCAACCTTGATATACTAACTGGTTTTATTTCTCTCTCATACTGTAAAAATAGCATCTTTTGCCTAGGCAGTGGTTCTGAAATCTGAGCCAAAGGTGTGTTGTTCAGATAAGTCGCAATATGTCGGAAACGGAGTCAACTACGACGTTAGCACTTTCTTAATCTTTTATTGTATAATATGAAGTATTTTCATAGCTTGATATAGCAAAACGTTCAGGGTACACTTTAATGCCAATGAAATCACTAGTATACTGAAATTTTACATAATTTATACACCCAGCATGCTTCATTCTTTATATATAACACATGCGGACTTGTTTTTCTCCGACAAGTATTATAGGTTTCCTCACTTACGACTTGGTGGATTAACATGAAATATCAGCTTTTTGAAGCCGCCCTTTGTTGATAAGACGGTAACACACACAGCTAATTTCACTTGTCTATATTTTAATTATGACGTCACGCAAAAATGCTTTGCGACGTCATCTTCCCTATTTTGGTGTCATGATTCTTAGCAATAATTTCCCGCATTAGAGACAGAAAGTATGTATTTCTAAGGGAAACATGTGGTTTTTCATATACAATATTTCTAAATGTTATGAGAAAAAATATCTACTTATTCATGTTTTACATGTACATGTATAAAGAGGTTTCCAAATTCATGATGGCTGCTTATCATATCTTAATCTCATTAGTCAATTTTCAAACCAGTAAAAAATACGTAAACCTGGTGTTTTTATACAACTCGAAAATTAAACAACGTAGGTTAGGTCAACATGATAACCAACCATCTACGTATGAAATAATCAGTTTATTTATAAGTACACGTGTACTAATGACACAGGTGGACATCATACTTGTATGTCTCTCTGTCCGTCTGTCTCTGTACTTCTAGTTGTAATTTGTTTAGCGTACCAAAATTAATTTTTTAAATGTATGGAATATCATACTCATTGTTGGAAAATCGGGGTCTATGTATTTTACAATTATAGAAATCATGGTAACTGTTGAAACATTTTTTTCCCTTTATTGATTATGATCTATGAACAACAAATACATGACATCGTCTCCCCCAATCTTCCCTTAAGTAGGCAAGTATGTATAAGCTGAATAGACGATGCCGTATTGATTAAGATGTTATACCTATTTACACTGATTTTTTAAACAATTGTGACAATCTTTAAATGCAACATTGTGTTAATTGTACTGTAATAACGTGGAATTGATTTTGAGGAACAAATACAAGTGGTTGATTATGATACGTTAATAAGACTCATAGAACCAGAATAACGAGACGAGTGTCTCTCCTGCAGGTCGGGGTTGAGAAAATAACAACTCGTATGTACCTACCGCATGGTTTAAGGTAAATAATGACGAAACCTCATGCAAACCTGGGACTTTATTTCTTAACATCTAGGTTATGCGATCCAAATACATCCGCTGCATGTACTGAATTGCAAAGTTTGGTATAATTTGTTTTCTTTTTGTTTCTAAAAGCTTTGGTTTCAAAACGTATTAAAAAGCAATACCTCACTTGAGCGTTACCCCAGGAAAGGAAGGTAGTGGGATTAAACCCAAGACCGAAGAAAAAACAAAGCACTGTTGTGTCAGCTTGTACGCTCTGCCCCCTCCCCGTACCCACTTTCTGACGTTCAGCTTTAAGATAGAGTAAGTGATGTTAAGGTTGGTACCATATGCAGCTCGTTTAGCTAAGTATAGTCTGACTGGGTAGATTGTCATGCTGTGTGACCGGGTGGATTGTCATGCTGATTGAACGAATGGATTGTCATGCTGTGCGACTGGGGTGATTGTCAGGCTGTGTGACCAGGTGAATTTTCATGCTGTGTGACCAGATGGATTGTCATGCTGTGTGATTGGGGTGATTGTCATGCTGTGTGATTGGGTGGATTTTTATGCTTCATTACTGGGTGGATTGTCACGCTGTGTGGCCGGTTTGATTGTCAAGCTTTGTGACTGGATGGATTGTCAGGTTGTGTGACTGGGTTGATTGACACGCTTTGTGACTGGGTGGATTGTCATGTTGTGTGACCGGATGAGTTGTCATGTTGTGTAACAAGGTGAATTGTCATGCTGTGTGGCCGAATGGATTGTCATGCTTTGTGACTTGGTGGATTGTAATGTTGTGTGACCAGATGGATTGTCATGCTTTGTGACTGGGTCGATTGTCATGCTGTGTAATCGGGTGGATTGTTATGCTGTGTGACTGGGTGGATAGCCATGCTGTGCGACTGGGTGGATTGTCACGCTTTGTGACTGGGTGGATTGTCAATTTGTGTGACCGGATGGATTGTCATGTTGTGTAACAAGGTGAATTGTCATGCTGTGTGGCCGAATGGATTGTCATGCTTTGTGACTTGGTGGATTGTAATGTTGTGTGACCAGATGGATTGTCATGCTTTGTGACTGGGTCGATTGTCATGCTGTGTAATCGGGTGGATTGTCATGCTGTGTGACCGGGTGGATTGTCATGCTTTGTGACCGGGTGAATTGTCATGATGTGTGACCTGGTGGATTGTCATGCTGTGTGATCAGGTGGATTGCCATGCTGTGTGACCAGATGGATTGTCATGCTGTGTGACCAGATGGATTGTCATGCTGTCTGTCCAGATGGATTGTCATGCTGAGGACCGGATGTATTGTCATGCTGTCTGTCCAGATAGGTGGTCATGTTGTGTAATCGGTTTGATTGTCATGCTGTCCTCGGGGCGTATTGTCATATATATGTATATGTTAAATATAAACACAACAACATCGCTCATCTGAATTAACTGTTTACTTTATTTTTGTATTTATAGATAGAAAATTAACATATGCTGGTGTAAAGGTTCATGTCTTTACGTTAGCATGCAGTACCGCTGAGGTCGGTGACTTTAATCAAATTGATCCGAACAGATTCTGATAAGATGCATGGTTGACAACTTACCAAGCAATATCAGTGATTAGCAATACACAGTGAATGAAGATGGATGCCCACAACTTTTTGATAAACAAGTTCCAGTTTTTTTTATTCAAACGGCTCATCATTGTGGTGCCATTTGATTTTTTATTAGAAAGTTGTTTCTAAAATAGTGGTTCCACAGGTTTTGACCTATATTGATTTACAACCTATTCATTAGACCAAAAATCCACTGAAGGACGTGACATGCGGTAATACGTGAACGGGATCCGCAGTGGCTCGACCAGAGACATGAACCACGATAACGTCACCTTGGGCAAGCGATAGGACTGCCGTGCTTGTCCCAGTGGTCTTGTAGTATCTGTCATCTCCTGCATATCCATCTGCAACCGGTGCTCCGTTTTTCAGCAGTTGTGATTGTAAGTAATGTATGTTGATCTGTATTGTCCAAATAAACACATAAAGCCCTGGGGTACTGCACGTGAAAGCCCCCGTGTACCCACTAAAGTCGTTGTGAGTATTTGTGATAACGCTGTCAAATATGATGGTATGGCCAATGGCAACAGAGTAGGCTGTGATGCTACTTCTAGCGAAGAATCCAGATCCTTGTCCACCTAAATTCAAAACAATAAGTTGAAATAATAGCTCAACATTTGTTGATATTTAATTTAGTTGTATCCTATCAAGACAAGCTTAAGACTTTAGTGAGCGCATTCCCAATTTATGTTCACGTGATCATTGTTTTTTATTCTGGCTGAGAAAAAGGTCCATCATTTCGTGTTATAAAACAAGTACTAATACATAAATAAATAAATGGAAGAACACAGGTGTTTACAGGATGTTAAAATATTGCTACGAACACATTAATATGTTTCACCTTTTTAAAACACCACAGTAAGTATACTTTAATATGTTAGCCTATAATATAATTAATTGCAGCACATAAAATAGTTTGTTATGGTAGGAATATCACCAGTGATTACTTTTCCGCGAGTTCTACACTGCGCGAACATTGAATTCCTGACGAAATCGCAAAATAAGCTTGATGGAATTAAGTGCTATAGCACAGTGATGCATGTATACAAACGAAAGATGTTTTTATATAGACAGGACTGCATGTAGCATTGATACCTACCTTCTGCCACTTCCTGAGTTCTCGGAAATGGCACCGGCGATCGGCGAATTATTACTTTTCGTTTTGAATTCGGTGGATTGGTCAATTTGGCATCGACGGTGTCCTGTGTAAGTGTTCGAGGTTCCGCGGGTTCGGAATCATGCGTGGAAGTAATATTCCTAGTATCGGGAGCCCTATCCAGACTAAAAGTATTGGTAGGTTCACGGGAGTGGCCGAGTTTTTCTGCAACGCTACATCGCTTTTTACACTGTGTAGATAGCGCGTCGTTTTGTAGCATCACCGTTTCTAGTCTTGAATGAAGACGGTTATTGTCCTGTTGGAGTTTTGAATGGAGACGGTTACTGTCCTGTTGGAGTTTTCCGAATTCTTGCTTTAATGTTGTTATGTCATTTAGAGCTTTTCCTAAAATATCATGATAACTTTCCATTGTTTCCTTCATTACGATAGATTCTTTAGCATCATTTTCGCGGAGGTTCTCCAATGTTTTCAGACGATGGAGTATTTCAAGGTTGGCATTTTCAGGAGCACCGTTATATCTGATAGAAAATATGTCAGTTTCCACACTAGTACCTTTACATTTTGAAAATATAATATTGGTTAAAACAAGTGCACATAGAATATGTTTCAACATTTTCCACGGCTAGTGCGAGATGAGATACGAAGTAAGTCTAGAAGCACAACGACAGTTGATTTTATAGACAGGAACATATGGTCAAATTTACACTTCACGACAAAAACAAACCTGACCTACAGCGTTGATGGGCAGAGCAAAGATAGCCCTTAGTCATTTTTCTGACCTTACAGGAAATGGAAATAGGACAGAATTCAAGTTCACCAGGGCAAATACGAGACGAGCATGTGTCCTCGTTGTAACTATTTGTGATGATAATCTTAAGTCCTGATTAGACAGTACACTGGACAATAATTCCGAAAAGTGTCATCGCTGTATAATTTGGCGTTATAACCGTTATGAGGGGGGGGGGGGGGGGAGTTAACACCGATATAAGGTTTTATATTAAAACAGACAACAGTCGAGGAAGGTTTAAGGATTAAAATCGACACTAGTAAAGGATTCGGCCTTTGAACCGACAACGGTGAAGGTTTTCCGTTTAAAAGTGGGATGATTTCATGGACAAGAGCAGATGGCTTTGCTCCTTTAGGAATTGTCACACTCCTGACCTCTAGTTTTAACGGGAACAGCACAGATAACCCGAGGCCATTCTGTTGAGTTCTCAGGGAAAAAGTTACAAGGTAAAACCCGTCCAGTTCAACTGAAATAGACGAGACGAGATTGTGTGTACCAAGTATGTGTTATCCTGGTAAAATACTAGCCGCTTCCTACCGACTCGGTTAGGGAGATTTTATATTTAGCTCATCCGATAGAACGTAACACTAGTAAGCCGCCAGAGGTCCCAGGTTCGACTCCTCGCGGAGGCCTCTGTTCGTATGATTTCACTGTAACCATTTGTGGTGATAAACTGATACGTCCTGTTAAGACGGTACACCAAAACAAATAGGATTGAACTGAAAAGGATAAATATGTGATGTTTATACAGACAACGATTAAAGGTTTTTGGAAGTTAATGTGACTATGGTACGGGATTCAGAGTTCAAACCGAATGAGATAATGGTTTTGGGATTAACGTGACATCACCAGAAGATTTCGAGTGTAAAAAAAAGGATTGAAAGTGACATAGGTGTAAATATGGAATAAACGCTGACAACGGTTAACGATTCGGTGTCTAAATCAACAATGTGATGTAGAGGATGCTGTTTTATTTGTATGAACAGTTGATTGACAAGTTCACTAAATTACACGATTTGTAAATGAGAGGGTACCGGTTGACTCAGTACGTTATCTATGTATGCTATTCCCACCGATTGGTATATAAAGGTTTGACCCGATAATCTCCATTACTTGTGTAAACAAATGACCATTATTGGTTATTCTACCAAACAAGTACATAGAAAGGCAAACATACGACACACACCGGTGATTGTACTTTAACCCTTTCACCCCTATGTAACTTTAGTAGACTCTACTGTGCATTGATATGGATTAGTCCATTATGGTCTAAAGTGGTGAAAGGGTTAATAATTTGGTAATAGATACAGTTTGCCAAAAATGAATAACACTGCATCATACATATGTTTCGTCATTTTAGGACACGTTGTTGTTGCTAGGGGGCCGACAAGGTGGAAATCCACATCTTTCTTAACACGTGTTGTAACTGAAGGGGAGGTGCGTAAAACCGATCAATGCTATAAATTTAAAGGAATTAGAGTATTACAGTTTAATTTTATGATAACGAGTAACGCCTGTATATTATGAACAGTGCCACTACGACTACAATGTAGGTCTACTATTTACTGCCTTGGTTAAATTTATAACATATTGAGAAACAAAGGGAATTAGTAATATTTCCTTCGGCAGTGTGACCTGTGTTTAAGTCATACGCCCTACTGTGATTATACTTCACGTATCATGTGGTTATACCTTATTGTTTTCAATTTGTCTTTAAATATGTTTTTTCGTACATGTTTTCTCTCTTACTTTCATATTTTACAATGAAGTACATAAGTAGTCGGATCTTGACAAATATCAACTCCACGACCCCTGTTACATCACTGTACTGAGTGACTAGCATATAATTCACTTTAAACACAATATATCTGTAGTTTTATAATCAACACGTGTTCACATCGTTATGATGCCGGCACTTGTAATGAATTTAAAGACATTCAGGTCTGGAGCCGGGAATCGTTTTTGTATTTATTTAACGTCAATAGTAAGGTACATGTCGCTCCCTATACGACTGGAGTTCAACGCGTATGTCAAAACAGCTACAATTTTAATTTAAATCAACATATTACATGACGTTTTTAAGTAAAGTAGTACGTATAACATAGCGTAAACTACCAAGTGGACTAACTAGTGTTGGAACAAAAAAGGATTAGAGGGTGGGGATTGGTGGAGGGGGTGCGTAGAGAACCCCTAAATAAGTACTGGTGATTTAAAGTTAATAATAACGAGTAAAGAGTGTATATATTATGAACTGTGTTTTCATGCAATTATCAAAATTTATAAGATATATGTACATGCATACCTGTAGAAATAACGTTTATTACGCCAATTGACAAGTTGCATACATACGTGTAATAACATGTTTTTGCATACAAGCATGGAAAATTACGACATAAATTTATAACACAGTGACAAACTAAGGTAATCCCTAATATTTCCGTTGTCAGTTTGACCTGTAATTTAGTAATACGCTCTACTGTGATTATACTTCACGTGTAACAAAGTGTTGTTTGTGGTTGTACCTTCGTATTTCCGATTTTGTTTAAAGGTGTTTTTTTCATATATGTTTTCTCGCATATTTTCATAATGGTATGCAATAAACGTTTCATTACAACTTATTATGCTTCTTTCCAATTTTCATGATTATATGCAATAAAACGTTATCATTAAACGTTCTGCAGCGTGTATGTCTTTATAATTGTATGCAGTAAATGAAAGGGGTGTATGGTCAAAATTTTATGCAGTAAAACGTGATTAGAACAAGTATGTATTTTTCTAACTCGTAAATGTTCATGCTTGGATGCAATAAGACGTTATGACACGTATGTATGCAACTTGTCAATTCGCGTAATAAACGTTATTTTTACAAGTATGTATGTATCTTGTACATTTTGATAATTGCATGGAAACACGTTAATGTTACAAATATGTATGCATCTTTTTAATTTGCTAAATCGTATGCATGAAAACATCAATACTACAAGCATATATGCATATTACAACAGTGACATACATAAGAAGTAGGACCTTGACCAATGTCCATTGTACGACCCCTCTGACAGCACTGTTCTGTACTGAGTGACCAGCACACACTTCACTATAAACACAATATATGTAGCTTTATTATTAACGTTTGTTCGTTAAAACGTTCGGAATCAGCTATCGTAATTGTATTTATTTAACGTCAATATTTAGATACATGTCACCCTATCTATGACCGGAGTTCAACGCGTATGTCAAAACAGCTATAATTTGTATTTCAATTAACATAATACGTGAATTTTTAAAGTAAGGTAGTACGTACGACATAGCGTAAACTACCAGAATGATCTAAACTAGTGTTAAAACAGAAAACGGGGTGGGTGCGTAGATAACCCCTAAATAAATACTGGTAATTTCAAATTAATAATAAGGAGTAAAGTGTGTATATTTATGAACCGTGTCATTACAACTTGATCAACTATTAACCGCCAGGGTTTACTTAATAACATACTGACAAACAAAAGGAATTCTAAATACTTCCTTTGGCAGTGTGACCTGAAACTTCACGTCTGACAAGAGATAACATGTGGCTATACCTTCTTATTTCCTTTGACAGTGTGACCTGAAACTTCACGTCTGACAAGAGATAACATGGGGCTATACCTTCTTATTTCCTTTGGCAGTGTGACCTGTAACTTCACGTCGGACACGAAATATAATGGGGCTATACCTTCTTATTTCTAATTTGTTTGTAATGTAGTTGTTCTTATATGTTTTCTCGCATATTTTCATAATTGTATGCAGTAAACGTTATTACTACAAGCATGTATGCATCTTTTTAATTTTCTTAATTGTATGCAATAAAACGCTATTGTTTCAATTACGTATACATCTTTTTATTTGTTCTTCGTGTGTATGCAATAAAACGTTATTATAACAAGTATGTATGTATCTTGTAAGTTGTCATAAGTTCTTGCCATTTTTTTTTTAAATAATTCACAATATGTTCGCATTTTGTAAATTTGCGTAAAAGTATGCAAAGTATCTGTTTAAAATTACAAATGTGTATGCATCTTGTAAAATCTCATGCTTGTATGCAATAAAGCGTTACAATTACAAGTATATATCCAAATGTACATGTTTTATAATTGCCAAAAAACCCATTAAATAAATATGTACGCATCTTGTATTTGAATAATTATATGCAATAAAACGAAATGATTAAAAGGATGTATGCATTTTGAAAATTTTCATATTTATATGCAACAGAACTTTATTATTACAAGTACATGTATGTATGCTTATTTTATATTTCATAAATGATTCAATACACGTTATTTTTACAAGTATGAATGCATCTTGTAAATTTGCATGATTGCATTAATATTACTAATATATGTGCATCTTGTCAGTTTTCATAATTTTAAGCAATAAAACATCAATATAACAAGTATTGTGCATATTAAAACAATGCAATAAATAATTAGTGGGATCTTGACCAATGTCCACTTCGCGACCCCTCTTACATACTATACTGTTCTGTACTGAGTGACCAGTACACCAGTTCACTATAAACACAATATATGTAGCTTTATATTTAGCATCAACATCGTTATGAGTACGGCACTTGTATTGAATTGAAACGAACGCTGGTTCGGAACTGTGTATTTATTCAACGTCAATATTGAGGTACATGTCACCCTATATACGACCAGAGTTGAACGAGTATGTAAAAACAGCGACAACTTTAATATAAGCACAGTGCTAAATAAATAAAATAGTAAGCGTAACAGTGTAAACTACCAGCATGTACCTGTCAACACGAACCCGTAACAATAGAAGAGTGGGTCGTGTCTGTGATTCTCCTTAAACAGTATCTGCAATATCATTATTACTGGAAAAAAAGTTA